GCATAAAAGTGGCACATTCATCGAAACACGCGTGAGTATCCTCAATCGTGTCGTGTATTGGGGACCTCACTCCCAGCATGGAGGCCAATCGCCTCTCGCTCGTCATGTAGGCCCCACGGACCAGCTTGAACCCCACGGGCACTCCCATCGAGTCCGCGGCCCGTTTCGCCATCACCATTCGGTCTCGAGCATCCCTCAAGTATGCCTGGATCGTGTTGAAAATCAGTGGGTTCTCATCCGACCGGTATTTAATGGCAGCCGAGTACGTGAAGTAATCGATTGCGGGTTGGATCGAGGTGTCCTCTGCATCGATCACGACTGGCACTTTTCCCTCCCAACTGTGTTTGCAGATTTTCATTAGCCGGCCATAGGCCAGCTCGAGGTCACGCTCCTCGTCCAGGGTTAACGGGTCGGGTCTTTTCAGGGTGTGGTAAAGAGGACTGGATTCGGCAAATATGGGTAAGGTTTCGAGCTTCCAGGGGAGGTGCAGGGACTTGTCTTTGTGGGCCCATCTCAGGAAATCGCTTATTCTGTTGAGCAAGCGCGGGGGACAGATGGCGGTAATCTTGATTACTACAAAACTGACCTGTAAAAAAACACGAATGTATTGTGTGTCGGTCCTTTTTCATCTTATACTGACTCTGATTGCTCAGCAGTTTGTTCTTTCTACAGTCATTTGTCATCAATTTGCAATAAAGATCATTGACATTTGATGTTATCAGTTAAGAACATCAACTAAGTTTGTTTCTATAATACAACAGAAACTACACTGATCAATTGGTGTTCCAAAATCTCAAACACTACCTTGTTTCAAATGGTTCAACAGCTAACTTTAAATTGTTCTATCAAACACAAAAACTCAAACACCTTATATGCATGCATCAGGCTTCACCAACAATGCCATCATCTTTTCAAAAAAAAGAGAACAAAACAGAAACCGAGAAAATCGAGGAATAACTTACAGGTGAAGCTCCCAAATGCTTAGCCGACTCAATCGTCTGAACAAACTCGTCCGAATTCCGATCGCACGCCCCGTTATCAGTCGCGTGCTCAAGCCCGTAATCCAGCATAGCCATGAGCCCCGAATCCCAGAGCCTCTTAACGATCCGATCCGCCTCCCCCAAATCCTTCCCCCCGCAGAAGTGATCGTAGAACGTGTGCTCGATCGACTCCAGCAGCATCTTCCTCGAGATCGGGCTCTTCATCAGCCGCGAATTCACGACCGTCGACCCCAGCTCCACCACGCCGTTCATCGACGCCGCTTGTAGGGTCACGATCGACTTGATCAGCTTCCCGGTAGAGACTGACGAGAACAGCTCCTTGGCGTCGTCGAGGTTGACGGGTGTCCGGGCTGCCGGGGCCGGCTTTGTGGGATTCGGGTCGGGGGTCGTCTCGGCGAGGTTCAGCTGGTGGCCGGCGGGGGTGAAAAAGGGAGAGGCGGTTGAATTGGGTCGGCGGGAGAGGAGGGGGAGGCTGCGCAGGAGGTGTTTTGGGCGGTGGATGGTGCGGCCGGCCATTACCGGATTGAAACGCCGAGATTGACCAACTTTTGGTGGTAGTACAGTGTGCTGTTTGTGGGTACTTGAAGGATGTGCGTGTATTTATAGAGCAGCTGTTTTGAGCTTGATTTTTTTTCAGTTAAAGAGAAAATACATTTTCAAGGGTTTGTAGGGACGACCGCGTCTTTCGGCGGGAAAATTTGAGCTCCCCACCATTGTTGGACGATGACAGAGATTCAGTTTCAGATGAGTAGATGCCTACTCAGAATCATCCACTTATTAACAGTACTAGTTAGTAGGGGTGAGCATGGTGCGGTTCGGTGCAAAACCGCACCGAACCGCAAAAAACCGAAAACCGAATTTTTTTATTTACCCAAACCGAACCACACCGAAACATGTAGAAAAACCGTACCGAAACTGCACCGAAATTTTCGGTTCGGTGCGGTTCGGTTTCGGTTAACCGCAATTTTTATTTTTTTTTAAAAAAAAACCAAAATAAAATGAAGCTACATCATCATCATCTAATGTGCAACATTACCAAACCAAAAGCCCAAAATTTATTTAAAAAAAAAAGGGTAAAAAACTTTTTACCATCTGAACTATCACGATTTTGTCGCTTTACCATATAAACTATTTTTTTTGGCAAACCACCATATAAACTACACATTCTTTTCACTTTACCCTCCAAAACCGTATTTAAAGTGGTATTGTAGCAAAAAAGCTGATTGCAAGGACATTTTAGGAATTGCAAATTTTTAGAATATTGCAAATACACCCAAAGGACCAAATGATAAATTATAAACTATTCAAATGTAACAAATTAACCCCACCTCTTTGTCAAATTCTCAATCAGTAGCCCATGTTTTATTAATTTTATTTTTAAAAAAAATAAGAAAAATTAAATATCTGCAAAACGCCTTCATCGACTAACCCTCACCACCATTGACAAACCCTTGTTCTTGCACCTCAACCTAAAAACTCCTCAGGAGGTGACCAAAACCCTAACTGCTGCCCTAATCTGAGCCCTCCTCCAGCACAACCGCAGCAGCTCTCCGGCGAGACTCCCCGCGTCATGGTCATCACCTCAAGCAAAGGCGGCAAGACCACAACCACCGCCAACATCGGCCACTCCCTAGCGCGCCTCGGCTTCTTTGTCGTCGCCATTGACGCAAACGTCGGCCTCCGCAACCTCGACCTACTCATCGGCCTCGAGAAACGCATCAAATACACAGTCATCGAGGTCCTCGAGAAGACGAATTTGGATCGGGAGGATTCGGGCTTTTCTTCTTCAATCTCCCCAATTTCTGCTCGACCACGGGATGGCGGTGACGAATTTGCCCGGCCGAAATACCAAATTTTAGCTGGAAAAATCAATTTCCCCAATTTCTCCAATTATCATACTATTCTCTTTCATTTTAGCTGGATTTGGGGGAAATGGGGAAAAATCAAAGAGAGCAGTATGTTCATTCAAGAACAGTACAACTATTTTATTGTGTTTCAGAAGGCAGAAACATAGAGTATAGGGAACAAACAAAATACTGCTTGAAATGAGAGACAGAGATCTTCAAATCGCAACACCGTCTAACAAGAACAGTACAACTAAATTGGGCTTTTTTCCAGTTTTTTTTTTATATATTTTTTTTATATTTTTAAATATACCAAATCCCCAAAATATCCTCAAAAACCAGTTTCAATGAAGTGAAACCGGGCTTAAACCTGGTATAGGGAGCAAGTTGACAAACCCGCATAATTCAGAGGGTGGTTTGTCAAAAAAAATAGTTTATATGGTAAAGCGCCAAAATCGTGATAGTTCGGATGTGAAAAAGTTTTTTACCCAAAAAAAAAACTAAGGCAAGAAATTAGATTTAATGTAATGTTATTAATTTTTAATTGATTGTTATTATTTATTACTTTACTTATTTATTGTTAATGTTAGTCATCCTAAACCA